TTTAATGAAAGGCAGGACACAGAGTAGATTAGAGGAACAGAGTGATCTTGGGGTAATTATTCACAGTTCCCTGAAGTGGGCAAAGCACATGAATAGGATAGTTAGGGCAGCACTTGGGACACTTGCTTTCACAAGTCTTTGCATAGAATATAAGAGCAAGGACCTAATGTTGGAGATGTACAGAGTGTGGGTCAGGCCACAGCTGGAGCAGTGTACAGTTCTGGGGGTCACCTCATTACAGGAAGGATGTGACAGCACCAGAGGGGGTACAGAGGAGGTTCACCAGGATGTTGCCAGGGATTGAGCTGTAAAGGAGAGACTAGCTAGTCCTGGGGTAGTAGGAACTGCAGATGCTGGAGAATCTGAAATAACAAGGTGTAGAGCTGGATGAACACAGCAGGCCAAGCAGCATCAGAGGAGCAGGAAGGCTGACGTTTCGGGCCTAGACCCTTCTTCAGAAAATTTTCTATATACTAGATAGTCCTGGATTGTTTTCCTTAGAGCAGAGAAGACTGAGGGGGGACATGATTGAGGTGTATAAGATTATGAGGGGTAAGGACGGGGTGAATAGAGAGCAGCTGTCCCCCCTGGTTGAGGGGTCAATCACGAGAGAGCATAGTTTTAGGCTAAGGGGCAGGACATTCAGAGGGATTTGGGGAAAAAAAAGGGTATTCACTCAGCAGGTGGTGGGAATCTGGAATGCACTGCCTGGGAAGATAGTGGAGGCTGGAAACCTTACAACCTTTAAAAATATGAACAATTCAAATATCATAACATTTGAGGATGTGGGGCAAATGGAGGAAACTGGGATTAATACACTTTTAGTAGTTTTGTCGGTACAGACTCAATGGGCCGAAGGGCCTTTTCTGCACTGTTCAAATCTAAGATGAAGGTAAGCATGCTGTATGCATTCTTTACCGTCTGATCCACTTATGTTGCCACTTTCAGGGAGCTATGGACTTGTGCCCCAGGTTCCCTCCATATATCAAATGCTCCTCAGAGTCCTAACATTTCCTGTATACTTTCCTTTTGTATTTGACTGACCTCCCAAAATGCATCACCTGACACTTGTCTGGCTCAAACTCCATCTGCCATTTCTCTGCCCAACTTTCCAGCTGATCTTTATCCTGCTGTATCCTTTGGCAACCTTCCTCACTATCCACAACTCCACCAATTTTCATGTCATCTGGAAACTTACTAATCAAAACACCCACATTTTCATCTAAATCATGTATATATATTACCAACAACAGAAGTCACAGTGCTGATCACAGATCTCCAGCCAAAAATCACCCCTTCACAACAATGCAGTCTATTCAGAAGTCTGATAACAGCAGGAAAGAAGCTGTTCTTAAATCTGTTGGTAAGTGTTTTCAAACATTTGTATCGTCCTGCCCAGTGGAAGAGTATAACTGGGGTGGGAGGAGTCTTTGATTATGTCGGTTGCTTTCGCAAGTCACCAGGGAATACAGATGGAGCCACTGGAAGGAAGGCTGGTTCGTTTGATGGACTGGGCTGCATTCACAACTCTTTGTAATTTCTTGCTGTCTTGGGTAGACCAGTTGTCATACCAAGCTGGGGTGCATCTAGATAGGATGCTTTCCATGGTGCATCTATAAAAATTGATAGAATCCCTTGAGGACTTGCTGCATTTCCTTTGCCTCCTGAGGAGGTAGAGGTGTTGGTGTGCTTTCTTGCGGTAATGATGTGAATGGACCAGGACAGATTGTTGGTGATATTTACTTCTAGGAACTTGAAACTCCCCACCTCAGCACCATGGATACAAACAGGCATGTCGTCCACTCCGCTTCCTAAAATCGATAACCAGCTCCTTCCTTTCACTGATATTGAAGCTGAATTGTCGTCTTCACACCATGCCAGGAATCTGTCTCTCTTTGTTCTACTCCGCCTCATTGTTTAAGACCCGATCCACTATGGCAGTGTCATCAGCAAACTTGTAAATGGAGTAAGAGCAGAATTTGGCCACACAGTTGAGTGTAAAGAGAGAGTATAGTAAGGGGCTGAGTACACAGCTTGTGGGATACCGGTGTTGAAGATTATTGTGGAGGAGGTATTGTTGCCTATTCTTACTGATTATGGTCTGCGGGTCAGGAAGTCAAGGATACAATTAGAGTCCTACGGATAGAGTCCTAGGTCTCAGAGTTTGGAGATAAATTTGTTTGGAATTATGGTGTTGAAGGCAGATCTAAAGTCAGACTCCTATTTATTGACATAAGTTTCCTGGTTATCAAGATGTTTTCTCTCTCTCCTTTCTGAAGACCTCCTTTTACTTTGCATTCAAGGTTTTTAATTCCTAATTCAAAAGTTTGTTCCTTTCAATCCTCTGCTTTTTGAACTTTACTTCTAATTCTTTTGACTTTTTTTTAATGATTAAATTGCTTTAACTGCACCTCAATTAGAATCTGTCCCTGATGACTCACACAGGGAAGGTCATGGTGAAATGATAACGTCACTGACCCAGCAATCCAGAACCACAGGCATTATTCTAGGGGCAAGAGTTCAAACACCACAAGAAATGGTGAAGTCTGAATTCAAGAAAAAGCTGAAGTTAAACATTTGTCTAAACATGTTAACACCAATGCCAATTGTCATAAGAAAACCACATCTGGACCCCTAATGTTCCATTTTCCTTTAGGGAAGGAAATCTGCCACCCTTACCTGGTCTGCCTATGTGACTCCAGGCCCACAGCAACATAATTGATTCTTAAGTGGCATCTGAGAAATTAGGGATAGGCAATAAATGCTGAGTCAGCAATGCCCACATCCTGTAAATGAACAAAAAAGAGTGGGAGTCCTGGCTCCCTCTCGCACTTCCATCAATCCCAAATGCCATTCTAATATTTCAACTACCTCCACCAACTTCGTTTTTGCAGGATATATCATTATTAAGCCCTTCACCAATTTTATTAGCTTAGTCCGGGTTAAATCTTGTCAGCCATCTTTATAACGTATCGATGGATGAACACAGCAGGCCAAGCACGTCAGAGGAGCAGGAAAGCTGACGTTTCGGGTCTGGAGCCTTCTTCAGAAAGACCCTTTTCTGAAGAAGGGTCCAGACCCGAAACTTCAGCTTTCCTGCTCCTCTGATGCTGCTTGGCCTGCTGTGTTCATCCAGCTCTACACCTTGTTATCTCAGATTCTCCAGCATCGGCAGTTCCTACTATCTCTTTATAAAGTGTCAGTTGATACTATCATTGCCTGTCCTTTTACCTTTCACCTAGTAGTCATGGTCTCCCACATCCAATCTTGCATTGTCTCCGTCTAAAATTCCCACAGAGCCCCCAGACTTTGTCAGGATACCAATGAGGAGAGAGCTAGAATTCAAACCCCACTATTCCATGAGAAATACCCCAAAATTATCAACATCTTTATAATCATCAAAATAGTCAATTTGTTTCTCTGTATTACTGTTACTTAGAACAAAACGTTATCAAATTTCTTTAATAAACTCAACAATAACTCATTTACTAGAAACAAACTCATCATCTAAACACTTGGCCAAACTACTTAGCAACTAATCTACTAGACAGAATTAATTCTTCCTAATCCCAAATACAGGCATTCATATGCAGGGTGAGATATAATTGCTCTTTGAGGCTGTGTCAAATAGATAAAGATAAGGAAAACACTGAATCAAGAGTTCAAACTACAAGGGTAAAATGAGATTACTTCCTCTCAATTTCTTGACAATGATATCACAGTTTTGAGGAAGGGTCACCGGACTCAATATGTTAACTGATTTCTCTCCACACGTGCTGCCAGTCCTGCTGAGCCTTTCCAGCAATTTCTGCTTTTGCTTTGGATTTCCAGCGTCTGCTGTTCTTTCGGTTTTTATATCACGTTGCAGTAGGCCACAGAATGACAAAAGGCTGTTGTCGTAGCATGTCAGTTAGACAACTCCTATGACCGAATTAACCAGTTGGGCTTTCGGAGTTTGATAGGATTAAAGATATTATTCCCTGGAGCTGAAAAAACTTTATCAACAAGTGGTTTTATTGTCCCTCCTGGCTGTCTCCCATCAACATGAGATCAATCAACATTCTGCTGCCTACATTCTAGCTTGCACCAAGTCCCATTTATTCAGCACCCAGTGTGCCCACTGTCCCTTTGTAAGGCCCAACACCAATTTAAAATTCACCAATTCCTCTGATTTCTCCAATATTGCAACCCGTTATCCACACCACCCCCCACCCCCCAAAGAGATCTCAGTGCTCATGCAACTCTGGCATCTTGAACAACCAATTTTAAACTCACTCCTTCAGCAGTTGTGCCTTCAAAAGCCAAAACCCTAAACTCTGGCATTCATCTCCATTCAACCTCCAACTCTCAATCCTCCTTTAAGATGCTCCTTAAAAATACCTCGAGTACTCCTGAAAGAATAAATTTTGCCAAAGCTTTGGGTCTTGCACTCATCAGGACAATATGCAAGAAATCCCAAACTGAAAGGAAAATGCATTGATACTGCATGGAGAGCCGGGGGACTCCGCCCACTGATTCAGGACTGGGCACTCAGTGTAAAACACACGCCTACAGCAATGAGGTTTCCTGGATTGCTAAGGAAAAAAAAGTGAAAAGTTAGGGATTCTGGGGAGTTTGTCAGGGCAGATGCTGACAGGATATTTCCCTTCACAGGGGCATCTAGAACTGAGGGCACAGTTACAAATAAAAGGGTCTCCCATTTAATATGGAAACTTCTGAGGGCCATCACTCTCTAATTCCCCACCTCCAAAGGGCAGTGGAGGCTGGGCCATGGAATATAATCAAGATGGAGTCTCACAGATTTTCAAACTGGGAAAGAGTCAAGGGAACAGACAGGAGCATGGAGTTGAAGCCACAATCTCATTGAATGGTGAAGCAAGCTCAAGGGATTTACTTCTGCTCCTAGTTCTTATGTAACTTTTTAAAAAGTGGCAGCATTAAATTATGTACGCATTCTTTGCGCCAATCTCAATACATAGGGATTTACAGACACACACAGATACATGATTTTTTTTATTCAGAACCCACAATCATAGTAAAAACAGTTACATTTAAACTAATTGGTCACATTCTACTAAAGATTGTCAGCTTTGGTCAGAATGGGAACCCCTGGCTCAGTCCATTTAGAGAAAGGAAAGGGAAGGTTTTTTTTGGGTGGTGGGGTGGGCTGTGGCAGAGGCAGTGGGGAAGACAAGGGAAAACACCAAATACAGGAAAGACCAACACTTCAGTAACCATTCGTGAGACAATTCCACTCACCCCGTTCCTCCAATAAATTGAGACTCAATATCCAAAAGATCACACTTAATACTTGGAGCTGCTAGGGTTTTGTGAATGAACTTACAGGTCTGTTAAGTGACAGTGCTAAACTTAAAGCAAGCACGCTTTGGCAGGTTCACAAGAAATCGACGGCATGAGACTAAAATTGAACAAATGCACGCTTAGCACAAATTGCACTGAGTGCTGAGCACAGGCCCAAGGCCTGTTAGCCTCCTTAGGCAGGCTGTCTACTTTAGCAAGTGCAGCAATGGAGGAATAGACCAGGCGGCTCCTGTCTCAGTGTTAATGAGATCTCCACGTAACTTTCTGACCATCATTCAAATAGGTTTGATCAGAACAAAGTAGATCAGCACCTGGAGTGTATCTACACAATGGCTGAGTGGCATGACCGCTAGGCTATTACTTCAGACACTCAGGTAATTTTCGGGGGACCATGGCAGATGGTGGAATTTGAATTCAGTTAAAAAAATGTGGAATTAAGAGTCTAATGATGACCATGAAACCACTGCTGACGTCATCAAAGCCCATTTGGTTCACTAATGTTTTTTAGGGAAGGAAACAGTTGTCCTTACCTGGTCTGGCCTACATGCGACTCCAGGCCCACAGAAATGTAGTTGACTCTGAACTGCCCTCTGGGCAATTAGGGATGGATAATAAATACTGGCCTAGCCAGCAACAATCCCATGAATGAACTAAAAAAAAAAATAGGTAACCATTTGGGATTCAATGGGGACTAGATTTCTGGATGAATGAACACTAGGCAATAGATATTGCATTAGCTCTTAACAGGAAGAACAGTGGCAGGAGTTTGGAAACTGTGAAACATCAAGAGCTGCATCCCAACTCATCAGAACAGGATGTTCAAACATTAACTATACCAACATTCCAAACAACCAGCAACATCACTGGCTTGAGATTTAAGAACAGAGACTTAATAGAGTTTTCAATCATTGCAGGGAACCACCCCGAACTTTAACGACACAAAGAAGAGAGTCTGGCTTGGCCTCCCTCACATCTCTGATCTAGGTGTGTCTCGTGCCCACTTTAAATAATTTAATTGCCAAGTAGAGCACAGTGTTAAGGGCAGCAAAGAAATCATTACAATAAACACAGTGTGCATTGGTTGCTGGGTATTGCTTCAGTGTGAAGGTGCAGAGTGTGGGGGGGCTGCAGGCCGTACCATCACCTTGTGAAATGACTGGGTCCAGCCTGCGATACAGTGGGCAATTCACTATGGAATGTAAACAAGGGTGGTCAGCAGCTCTTTAGTGAGTGTTGAACAATAAAAGAGTTTCTGTGCATTTAGGATTGTTGGTGTGGTATTCTTCTGTCTGCTCATTTCAGACTGGTTGCAGTTCAGTGTGTAAAAGCTGCTTTAGGTTAGATGAAGATTGGGAAGACTGATCTAATCATTCTGAAGGTGACAAGGATTTATTCTATTGGCTGTGATCAGAAAACATTCCAGTTTATGAAAGACCAGTTATTGTTAAATGTCCCTGTGGAGTTTAGTAAATACAGTACTTGGCTAATGTAATTCACCAAAATGATACTGAATTTGGAGGAATTACAGCTGATTGCAAACCAAACCAGTTCTGTTATAGACTAAACAAATGCAAGGGGTCAGGGGCTGATCCTACAAACAGATGGGGGAGCTATTGGAGGAGGCCCAGGCAGCTGGAGGCCTCCGGAGGACAATCAAACAGTAACGTTCCAATTATTCACAAAGGCAAACAATTTAATTTTGGCAAATTGAGATCACTTTCCATCTGTTTCCCAAACCCACCCCACCTCAATTTCCTTAGTAGAATATGACCTCTTTGCATGTAATGTTGCATAAAGTATAAAAACTAAAACATTGACAAAAGGGTTTTTTAAAAAAAAATGTCTCCTATCCAATATATTTGACGCAATTTCATAATCCTTAACCTGTCAACATACAAACATTAACCAGTGTCCACTGGCAAATAGAACAAAGAAACAGGCTGCAGCAGAAAACAATCAATGACAGGTCAGAAACTAATAGCCAGAAAATACCAACTCCAGGAAACATGGTTACAGATCACAGCGTCTAAACACATTCAGTGCTTTTTCAAGAACATGTGAGAAAGCATTCTAAAGCTGAATGCCATCAATAGTACCCAGATACTCGATTATTATATATGCAACAGCAATATGTCTATAAAGTGTACGTAGCAGCAAATAAAGCTTTGGAAAGTCAGCTGTGCAAGGCAGCAGAGAATGCATTGAACTGTGAGAGTCAATATTTGTTTTCACAGAGCTCTCGCAGATTCGCAATGATGTGCAACAGAGCAAGCAATCCAGGAAGAAGTGACTTACAAACTACACAACTTAGTTTGGGTGCTGAACACGGTGTGAATCCAGGCAGGACCATACAAACCGGGGGACTCAGTGGCCTTTCAAGCCCAAGGGAAGCCAGGTATTGAAGCCCAACTGGAGTTAAAAGGCAGACAGTACACTAGCACAGAACAGGGATTGGGGAAAGAGATGTGCTTAGATCATGCTCCAAACCAAATTCCTGAACCAAGGAATATAGCCTGATAGGTCACATTGGAAAACAAGCCTTGGAATAGCTTGATTGAGATCTTGGGTAGGTTTCACTTCACCAGCCCCCATGGCACTGGTCAGTAAATGATGATGATTGTAAGTCAGCTCAGGTAGGCTATCAGTGAAGTCACATGGGTGAGAGCATCGCCAACACTCACGAGAACAGTTTACAGACTGAGAACAGGCACTTGCATGTATTTTAAGCCTTGTAGTTCACAAGGGAGGTTTATGGAAAACTGCATTTTAAAATCTGTGTCAAGGTTAAGAGTTTAATAAAAAAAAAAACCTGCAGGACTTGAAAAAGTTGGCAACACTGGGTACACTTGTGTGTGACAGTCACCAGAAGAGATTCTGGTCCCTGATTATAACCAGTTTATATGCACACAGACTGATGAGGGTAGTGGTAATATTATATAGACAGACATAGTGCAGCCCATGTGCCTGGTGAACTGTTACTGGGCTGCCTTCGGGGGATTCAGTGGGGCCAGGTTTCTCATCTTAAAGTAGGATACCAGCTGCTTGGGCACTTCTGCCAGTACCATCTGGGCCAGGGCTTCCTTGGGAGCCTAGGAAAGAAACAGGTAATAAATAAAAATCAGTGTTAACCTTGAGGTAGATAAACACTGGCCTTTACACAGCATCTCACTAGTGCCCACAGTCTCACACAACAAATCACTGTCACTTCAGTGACCTATTAAATTTCACAACCTTCCCGTCAGTGCATGAACAAGGATATGAATTACAAAAAAGTAACTAACAGACAAAATAAGGAATTATTTTCTAAAATTGATACACTTTATCCTTATCTGAAGGAGGATATTCTGGATATGAAGGAGGATTACCAGACTGATTCTTGAGATGACTGGGCTGACTGACTGAACTGAGACACTAAACTGGTTTGGATTATATTCACTGGAGTTTAGAAGAATGAGAGGGAATCTCATAGGAACCTATAAAATTGTAACAGGACCAGACAGGGTCAATGCAGGAAGGATGTTCCAAGTGACTGGGGAGTCCGGAAACTGTTTAAAGATACAATGTTGGACTGGGATGAGGAAACATAGAAGAAGGGGCAGGAGGAGGCATTCAGTCCTTTGAGCCTGCTCCACCATTCATCATGATCATGGCCGATCATCCAACTCAACAGCCTAATCCTGCTTTCTCCCCATAACCTTTGATCCCATTCACCCCCAAGTGCTGTATCTAGTCGCCTCTTGAATACATTCAATGTTTTGACATCAACTACTTCCTGTGGCAATGAATTCCACAGGCTCACCACTCTTTGGGTGAAGAATTGTCTCATCTCCATCCTAAATGGTCTATCCTGAATCCTTATCCTGTGACCCCTGGTTCTGGACACACCCACCATCGGGAACATCCTCCCTGCATCTACCCTGTCCAGTCCTGGTAGAATTGTATAAGTCTCTAGGAGATCTCCCCCTCATTCGTCTGACAATCCTAACCTAGCCAATCTCTCCTCAGACGTCAGACCCACCATCCTCGGAATCAGCCTGGTAAACCTTCGCCGCACTCCCTCGAGAGTAAGAGCATCCTTCCTCAGAAAAGGAGACCAAAACTGCACACAATATTCTAGCTGTGGCTTCACCAAGGCCCTGTACAACTGCAACAACACATCCCTGCTCCTGTATTCGAAACCTCTCGCGATGAAGGCCAACGTACCATTTACCTTCTTTACCGCCTGCTGCACCTGCATGTTTACCTTCAGAGACTGGTGCACAAGGGCACCCAGGTCCCGCTGCACACTCCCCTCTCCCAATTTACAGCCATTCAGGTAGTAATCTGCCTTCTTGTTTTTGCTTCCAACGTGAATAACCTCACATTTATCCACATTATACTGCATCTGCCATTGATTTGCTCACTCACCCAATCTGTCCAGATCATGCTGAAGTATCTCTGCATCTTTGTCACAGTTCACCCTCCCACTCAATTAGGTATCTTCTGCAAATTTGGAGATGTTACATTTTGTTCCTTCATCCAAATCATTAATATACATTGTGAATAGCTGGGGTCCCAGCACTGATCCCTCTGGCACCCCACTAGTTATCGCCTGCCAATTTGAAAAGGAGCCATTAATTCCTACACTTTGTTTCCTCTCTGCCAACCAGTTTTCTATCCATCTCAATACACTTCCCCCAGTCCCATTCACTTCAATCTTGCGCAATAATCTCTTACGCGGGATTTTGTCAAACACTTTCTGAAAGTCCAAATATACTACATCGACTGGCTCCCCCTCGTCTACTCTACCAATTACACCTTCATACAATTCCAACAGATTTGTCAAGCATTTCCCCTTCGTAGATCCATGCTGACTCTGTCTGACCCTGCCACTGCTTTCTATATGCTCCGCTATAAAGTCCTTGATAATGGATTTGAGAATTTTCTTCACTACCGATGTTAGGCTCACCGGTCTATAATTCTCGGTTTCCTCTCTCCCTCCCTTTTTGAATATTGGAGTGATATTAGCCACCCTCCAATCTGCAGGGACTGTTCCACAGTCTATAGAATCCTGGAAGATGACCACCAATGCATCCACTTTTTCTACAGCCACTTCCTTAAGTACTCTGGGGTGTAGATTATCAGGCCCTGGGGATTTATCCACCTTCAATCCTATCAATTTTCCTAGCACCATTTCTCTACTAATATTGATCTCCCTCAATTCTTCCCTCTCACTAAATGTCACAGAAATGTCTACATTCAGAGAGTGGTGAGCCTATGGAATTCTGTGTTACAGAAAGCAAGCTGAGCCAAAACACTGAATGATTTCAAGGAGGAGTTCATAGAATCCCTACAGTGTGGAAACAGGCCCTTCGGCCCAACAAGTCCACACCGACCCACAGAGTATCCCACCCAGACTCATCCCCCTATAACCCACTTAATCTACACATCCCTGAACACTACGGGCAATTTAGCATGGCCAATCCACCTAGCCGGCACATCTTTGGACTGTGGGAGGAAACCGGAGCACCCGGAGGAAACCCACGCAGACACGGGAAGAATGTGCAAACTCCACACAGACAGTCACCTGAGGCTGGAATCGAACCCGGGTCCCTGGCATCGTGAGGCAGCACTACTAACCACTGAGCCACCGTGCTGCCCTTAGTTATAGTTCTTTGGACTAAAGGAATGAGAGAGAGGGTATGAGGAGAAAGTGGGAACAGGCTATAGACATGGATGATTAGCTAGTGGAGCAGGCTCAAATGGCCAAATGGCATCCTCCTGCTCCTATTTTCTATGTTTCTACAGAAAATGGCTAGAAATTGGAACTAACTGCTAACACGAGTAGTTGGTGCAGGCAGCATTGATGTATTTTAGGGGAGACTTGATGAATCTTGGAAGGAGTAGGATTCCAGGGTCTGGTTATTTTGGAAGGGGAGGGGTGAGGCATGGGGGCAGTAATCAGAGTTGGAGGGGGCTGCTGTGGAGCAGCAGCACCAGCAGAGACCACGTGGGCTGAATGGCCTGTTTCTGCACTGAAGACTCAAAGTTGAGTCAGACCTTAGTCTACCCAACGTACAGTGTCTAGCTAATCTAGTCGCAGGAAGCAAGATTCAATATCATGCTCAGTGCAACAACTGCCTTTAAACACAGCAGCCAAGTCGTATGCAGCAAGCTCCCCCGAGTAGTAATACAGTAACAGCCAGACAATTGGATTCATTGATGTGAATAGACAAATAAATATTGGCCAGAACACTGGGCCAATACCTCCCAGATAATTCCCCTGTTCTTCCTTGGAATAGTGCTCTGGAGTATTTTACATCCACCTGATACAGCAGCTGGGGTTTAACTCTAAAATGTGAAAAACTAAACACACAGGAGTCTTATTCGGCCAGTGCAGTCCACGAGCTCTCCAGCTAAATCCACAGCCTAACTCTATGAATGTAGCCCTTTAAAATACAACATCTCCATTTTCGAGTGCTGCTTAAATGCAGGGTGGGCGGCTGCCTCTATCATCCTTCCAGGCGGGGAGTTCCAGACCCACCCACCTCTGAGTGAAAAATTTACTCCTCAACTCAACCTCAAATTTTTCCAATTACACCAAATCTGTTTATGGACCTTGCAGCTAGTGGAAACTGCATGCATTAAGTCCTCATCCAAATCCTTAACATCAAAGGGTCAGCCTGTACCTTGTGGCCCAGCCTTTGGAGTGGAATTTGAAATCACTAACCACTGTCTCCGAGGTGACTGCTACACACCATAGCTGCATGTGAAGACAGTGAAAGCTCAGGCATGTGGTTAGATTCACACAGAAGAGTTCCAGACAGTGATATTCCAGAGGGTGGGACTGAGCCCAGTTTAACACCCAGTCTTTCCTACTTACATTCTGAAACTGTCTGAAGGGCACAAACTGCACAATGTCTCGAGCAACATGCTCCCCAGCCAGTGACTTCAGGACACCATTGTCACCATCAAGGAACTCCATGGCTTTGAAATCCGCGCTGCCAACACCAACTATAATGATGGACATAGGCAACTTTGAGGCTTCAACAATTGCATTCCGCGTCTGGTCCAAGTCAGTAATCTCCCCGTCAGTGATAATCAGCAGGACGTAATATTGCTAAAGGGGGAGGAATCAGAAACAAAGCAAGAGAGATGATGCAAGTACCAAGATCCTAAGAACTTATTCCCCCCAACTATCCCCCCACCCTCAATTTTCCCAGTAAATTTCTTTTAGACAGATGAAGTAAGTTTCACAGGCACCCAAAACTCCACTCCCTTCTCCTAAATGTTCAATAAATGAGCTATTTAACTGCAGAAGACCATGCCTATAGGCAATCACAACTGGTATCGCAAGGCACAAACGTTCCAGAGATGGGTGCAGGGTCAAAAAAAAAATCACTGGATAAAGATGAATAGGCTGGGGCTATTTTCCCTGGAGCGTCGGAGGCTGAGGGATGACCTTATACAGGTTTATAAAATCATGAGGGGCATGGATAGGGTGGATAGTCAAGGTCTTTCTTCTAGGGTAGCGGAGTCCAAAACTAGGGGGCATAGGTTTAACGTAAGAGGGGAAAGATTTAAAAGGGGCCCAAAGGTAACATTTTCATGCAGAGGGTGGTGCGTGTATGGAATGAGCTGCCAGAGGAAGTGGTGGAGGCTGGTACAATTACAACATTTAAAAGACATCTGAATGGGTATATGAATAGGAAAGGTTTAGAGGGATATGGGCCAAATGCTGGCAAACGGGACTAGATTGATATAGGATATCTGGTCGGCATAGATCGAAGTGTCTGTTTCCATGCTGTATATCTTTAAGGGTCTAAGAGCAAACCTTGGCAATGAATAGACGCCCCCCCACCCAACTGCAGGCCCTACGTACTGACAAAAATCCATCCGAGCCCTATTAGTTGCGACTCAGTGGAACGTGGAAAGGACTGATCCATGAATTGAACCATGGAATCTCCCCTTACCCAGGACTGACTGATCTATCGATCAAGGGGTCCATTGTAACAACTCGCCCATGGCTCTTTCAACATCACAAAGCCTGGACCCCTCTTTCATTCAGAAGGGGGAGGGCAGGAGGAATACCAGCACCCCCAATGTCACACACCAGCAGGACTGGAGTCACCTGTAAGCTACACTGAATAAGCAGATTCCCAAAGGATATCGAGAACCAGTTCTTTAATATCAAACCTGACAGGTTTGTGCGACCAGTTTTTCTGACACTGGGCATGAAAATTCAGATTTTTTTGATGGAATTTCACAGAAGTCACTGCAAGATCCAAACTAGTTATGACACGGCCTCACAAAGCGCAGATGATGGGATTAAAAAATATCAAGACCGTAAGCATATTTCCACATAGCAAAAACACTGCCTTGGGAAACATTTAACACGAGCTATCTGGCACCACGTCCCCTCCATAATGCAGCGATGACAGCTTATCTCGACATTGCTGTGGACACAGCCCAGTAAGAGCAGTACAAACTACCAGCCTCTCCCCACCTACCCCTGCCAATCCCTGCAAAAATCTCTCCTGCAAGTTCCCTTTATTCAAGAATTATTGAAGGATGTATGGGGTTTTGCCTGCAATGATCTTGTCCCAGGAACAAATTAAAAATCCAGAGATAGTAGGAACTACA